ATGCAGTTCCTGAGCAGGTTCATACCAAACCTCGCGGAATGCGCAGCCAACTTATGGGATTTGACAAAGAAATCCAGTGAATTCCAGTGGTGCCCAGAGCATCAGTCTGCCGTAGACAGCATCAAAAGCATGATTTCATTGTCTAATTCACTACGGATTGAGCAGATCAAGGACGCAACAAGCAAGGATGACGTGTTGCACTCTCTCAGATCCCTCATCACACAGGGATGGCCTAGTAAGAGATCAGAGTGTCCTACACACCTTCATGCGTATTGGAACTATCGTGACGAACTGACTGTTGCAGACGGAATAGTTCTGAAAGGCACACCTGCAGCATTACAGCTTGCTGTGCTAGAACAACTGCACTACGCACACCAAGGTGCTGAAAAATGCAAACTTCGTGCCAAAGGATCCGTATTTTGGGCCAATATCAGCAAGGACATAGAGGAGATGGTCAAGGACTGCCCTCCATGTCAGCACAACTAGAAGGCCTATATGAAGGAACCCCTAATGACACATGATGTCCCACCGAGGCCATGGCACACACTGGGATCCGATTTGTTCTTTTGGGACAACAGCTCCTACTTGCCGGTCTCAGACTAATATAGCAAGTTCCTATTGGTCAGAAAGTTGAACAACATTCGTTCTGACACAACAATTGCTCACATGAAGGCGATCTTTGAAGAGTATGGAATTCCGAGCAAGCTCGTTACAGGCAACGATACACAGTTTACTTCAGCTCTATTCCAGAAATTCAGTGATACCTACGGATTTGACCATGTTACCACAAGTCCATACTACCCACAGGCAAATGGTTTCATAGAGAGGACTGTGCAAACTGTCAAAGCTCTGCTGCAGAAATGCAAGGAGTCGAACATAGACCCACATATGGCTATGCTGTGCCTAAGAAGCACACCATTACAGCACAACATTCCCTCATCAGCAGAACTCCTCAACTCAAGAGTCTACCAGACCAATCTTCCAGCAACACGAGCAGCATGCACACCGTGCCTAGTCGATGGTGACACTATAACGCGAAGCTACAAGAGAGGCAGGAGAAACAGAAATTGCAGTATGACAAGCCCTCTAAGACACTATCTGTGCTCCACCCAGGTGATTCTGTACGTGTACTAGATCCCCACAGCCATCACTGGGAACCTGGAGTGGTGAAAACCAGTGAACATAATCGCTCCTATGTTGTGGCGACAAGTGGAAGCAGATTCAGGTGGAATCGACTCCAATTGCGCCCTACAGGAGAAAGCTTCAGCAGCGGCCAGACAGATATCGCATCAGAGCATGCACCAGTGCTCCCATCGCCTAATCCTCTGCGTGCTGAGAGCATATCGCAGGAACGCACTTCACCTCCAGCTACCCCAATTCGTCGATCAGCCAGAAAAGTGAAGCCACCTGAAATATTAGACTTATGAATATTTTCTGTAGAGCCATATCATTGTTTTTACACAGTACTGTATTCGTGAAAGTTGAGGTCAATTTTAACCTTCAAAAAGAAGGGGATGTTATAGTTATGTTATATGTCACGATAGATGGCAGCACTGGTTGGAAAGTGATGCACGTGTTGTTCTGCTGAGTAAACGTAATTATCACATACTCTACGAGTTCTTTATCTAATTGCGTATCCGTAGTAAGAAATTACGACAGTTAGGGTTAGGGTTAGGGTTAGGGTTAAGGTTAGGGAGTAGGTGTAGGCGTAGGTGACTCCCTAGACTCGTTAGTGGAGTAGGCGAGGTACGGTCCGGCATATTAGATAGTACCAGGGTACGTTCCGGTATACCGGACCGTACACAGTGTACGTTCCGGCAGTACCCTGGGGGACATAGATCCTCTCAGCCATACTTAACCAACTAATAAATGAGTCTCTTACATAACAGCCGCACAGTACAATGAAATTATGAAGTGGGCATATCACATTGTCAATCTACATAGTTTACTGGCGATGCTACGAGTAGAAAATCAAGACTGCCTATTTTCTTTTACAGGATTTTTCCAGAAATCACATAAAAAATGTTGTTTATGAGCAGACGGGCAAGGGCCTGCTTGGAGGTTGTACCCTTATCTAATACATGAATTTTTTTTACAAATTTAATAACCTTCTATGTCATTCTGGGCAATTTATTGTCCCCAATTGAACAAGTCAGATTAAAAAGAAACAGGAACATAAATATTAAAAGACACAGCTAGAAATTAAAACATGTCTATCAGACTATAAACGCATGTCAGAGGATTTATGCGATGTCGCAAGTCAGCTTAAGCTTTGAAGGCATGCTGGGTCCAACATGCGTCAAAAGGCGTGGAGAGTCCCATTCAATATAACTAGCATACGAACTCCGTGCACATACCTCCCACAACGCAAGAACGTGGCTGTCACAATCTTCGCGACTGAGATGTAGACCCGTCTCTTCTGCTAGCTCTCTGAAGCCTGCTTCAAATACCTGTAGCATGAGCATTCACAAGAAAAATACTGCAGAAATACACTTGTATCCTTTGCTTGTATAATGTTTGGAAAGTAACTACTTTTATTGCCTATTTAATATTACTGACAGCCCATTATCATTATCACAATGAAACAGTGAGATAGACATTAATTAAATATAGCAGAAACTACATTTTAAAAGACACACAATATGATATGAATAAAAGTAATGTTCCATCTAGAGTTTATCTTGCTCTCCTCTACACTGTACTTACTGTCTCACTTTCTTCTATGTGCCCACCTAAACCAGAATAGGAAGGAATCAATCAGTATTGTTTCACTACTGTGCCTATAGAACTATTTTGAATTGAGGGATACATATTCTCAATGATAAAATGTGTCATTTTAGATAGGAATGCTTACATTTAAATTCAACATGTTTTACATACAAGTAGGCAAAGTTTTAATATATCTGGCTACATGACAATCTGAGCTGTCTAATGAACAGAATTATTCTCTAACTAATATTGATGATGCTGACAATAACAATGATGAGAATGATGATGATGATGATAATAACAATATTATTATTATTATTATTATTATTAACAATAGCAACAGAAATTAAATAATATAGCTCACTAATTAATCCTAACCTATTTAAGGCAAAATTTATAGCATAATTTATGAAATCATAGTGTCAAAATAAGAAATTAGTGCATTACAGGATAATAAAAATAGACCCCCCCCACCTCTTCCCATAACTAGCCATATAAGCCAAAGCTGCTTTTACGTCTATCATTTTTCTCAATATGTTCTTTACCTGGTGGGACCCACAAGGAAGGGAAGACACTTAGGCTGCTCGCTCTTTTCGTGAGAAGAACTCTGTCGTCTGCCGTGTGGACGAGAACAACAGCACCAGAATCTATGCCTCGGTTTTGTATCTCAGCAGGAAGATTACTCATCTCTGCTGAATTAATGTTACTGACTGGACATAGCGTGGCATGCTGGAAAACACAAGATGATCACCTTACTACACATACTGTGAAAATGGCTGACCCCGGCCAAGTCCTCCTCAGGACTGGGATCAATAAACGCTATTAAACACGACAATGTAAAATAATGAGGGTACATGCATGCTAACTAAATGCAGTTTATATTTTAAATATTTGTTGTGTCGTTGGTGTAAAAAACGTGGGAAACTAAATCTATTATGCAAATCGTAGCAAGAATTGAAAATTATTTATATGCTTAAAATATAGAAGCGTCTTGCCACGCAAGGCCTTATCCTTACAAAAATGAATATGTGTATGTAAATGCATGATTTGTGTGAAACTGAAGAGCAAAATGTGGGAAAAAAGGTGCAAAATCTCATACATGCTATTCACAAATTTGATGCAAGTTAAGTATACCACTTAAGGTGACCAACCACTATAATTGCCTTCTTTAAATATTACTCATCATTACTTTCTCCAAAATATGCAACGACTAAAATTTTCTCACGAGACCATCCTTACGCTTTGTAACACATGGTAACTTGCATAAAGTAATAGATACCTTGTACAAGTCTAGAACCACAATGTCACTCAATGAGATGCAATTTGGTCTGGTTGGACCAGTTACAAGGCAGTAGCATGACAAGGAAGAATGTGGCTGCATTGTTTGCTATTTTATACACCATAACAGCACAAACTCATGGCAATTTTTCTTTTGCAGTAATCAGCAATATGTCAGCTAATAGATGACACGTAATTTGTCTACATGTTTCTATTCTTTGATTAATTTGAGATATAATATATAATAATTTTTAGAAAGCATCTTTAATCAGATTTCCATCTAACAGACAATGTCTTTTTTTCATTTCATAGATACTGTGAAAACATGTATTAAAAATATATATATTAGTTAAACATTATTGAAAAGAAACTAAGAATAGTGTCTATTATAATAATATGAATGCTCTGCATTATGGAGAAGCTTCAGGAACGTAACGCACCCTCCAAGAGTTATAATAGAATTATGATGAAGACATTACAGTGTTGTACTAATATGGAACACTATGTATTGTAAGCAGTATATATGACTAGTTATAAAGTACCTTCAGCGGTACATAGGCTGGAGTTGGCTGATGCCCACTATCTTCTTGATATAGAATCAGCTTGTCTTGGGCCATTCTACAGTGAACTCCTGTCTTGCCATCTTTGTGATTAAAATGTTCTAATATACACTAAAAAATTAAAACATACACAAAATTACAGTAAAGATTATACATATGTTTAAGTAAAGTATACTAGTAATAATTTCAGATTTCTTAATTTAAAGGCATACTAGGCCCATTGATTATGCAATGTTGACGAATGCTAGAGTAACTGGCACCTTGTGTAGTTAATAAGTACATAATCTTACATCAAAACGCGTATTAGTTTGTCCAATATCACTGCTGGTTACTAAGAAATGTCTAATTGAAATCTGCAGTCCAAAAATCAGCTGTTTACAGTTTCAAACCGCTGCCGGCGAAGCGAGTGTGATACAGATTTATAGTGCACCGGACATTTTCGCACGCATGCTCGGCCGTACACAATGCTATCATCAGTGATTTCGTAAACATGGACGCTCGTGATAAGGAACTTTTTGCCAGGGCTGTCCACGTGCGTCCGTGATTAGTACGTGTGTTTTACTCCATTCCCAAGTTTAGTCCGTGGCCGTGGTTACAGTACACCGCTGACACCTCCATTTCATCTGGCGTCCAAAACATATGGGCCGCACAAATGTTTACGTCATCGCTCAACTCCTGGATGACATTTACGGCACGTAAATGATACGTTGATACATATCAACAACCGATTTCAAGTCTTGTTTGTAATGTAATCAGCAGTGATATTGGACAAACTAATACACGTTTTGCTATAAGGTTATGTACTTATTAACTACACAAGGTGCCAGTTACTCTAGCATTCGTCAACATTGCATAATCAATGGGCCTAGTATGCCTTTAAAAAAATCAATATCAGTCTAATAATTAATGTAGCTGAAAGGGTCATTGTCGTATCAGGTACTACATATATGTACCCGAGGTACATATATGTATACCTGACCTGTATCTTCTCAGCATATATGTACCCTGTGTTTAGGGTTAGGGTTAGGGTTAGGGTTAGGGTACACTTCTGTAGTACAAGTCTGGTACACTTTGTGTATACATATATGTACCTCGGGCACATATATGTAGTACCTGATACGACAACGATCCCTTCAGCATTAATGTATGTCTCTCACTATGATGTTATCAACATTGCTGGGTGTGACATGTTGGACAGTGTAAATCATATCAGCTTGGCGTCTTAGTCGATCACAAACATTGTCACTTTATCCAAATTGCAATTATTTTTACAATCTTTATTGCAATCTTTATACAAAAAAGACGTTTCACAATTGCCATTTGTCAAAAATTGTATTCCTCCAGTTTAAGTGTTGGCCGTGGCTACACGACCGGTTCCGGACGAGGAGCTGCTAGGCTACGCGTCCGGACATCCAACTCACACAGTGATCTTGCGACACGGACACGCATATGATTGCACAACGAGACGCTCTGCTGATTGCTGAGTGTGTGTGTGCGAGAGAGAGAGAGCGAGAGAGAGAGAGAGAGAGAGCTAGAGGTGTGTGCGTGGAAGAGAGAGAGAGAGAGAGAGAGAGAGAGAGAGAGAAGAAGAGAGAGAGAGAGAGAGAGAGAGAGGAGAGAGAGAGAGAGAGGGGAGACGAGAAGAGAGAGAGAGAGAGAGAGAGAGAGAGAGAGGAGAGAGAGAGAGAGAGAGAGAGAGAGAAGGAGAGAGAGAACACAGAGAGAGAGAGAGAGGAGAGAGAGAGAGAGGAGAGAGAGAGAGAGAGAGAGAGGAGAGAGAGAGAGAGAGAGAGAGAGAGAGAGAGAGAGAGAGAGAGAGAGAGAGAGCTGTGCGTGTGTGTGTGAAAGAGAGAGAGCTGTGCGTGTGTGGTGAGAAAGAGAGAGAGCTGTGCGTGTGTGTGTGATAAGAGAGAGAGCTGTCGTGTGTGTGTGTGAAAGAGAGAGAGAGAGAGAGAGAGAGAGAGAGACAGAGAGAGAGAGAAGAGAGAGAGAGACAGAGAGAGAGAGAGAGAGAGAGAGAGATCCCTATCAGTATCATCATGATGTACTGATGAGTGATGACACTGACATAGCTCTAGTACTATAGCCAGTCCTTGTGTTTTGGAAGAGGCAGGCGAGTGAAAAATCACACACCTTGGCTTTACGAGGCAAACTAGGGGGGTTCGGGGGCCCCCGTTCATGCCCCCCCGGAAAAAATTTTAAATCTAGACTTCAATGAAATGCCGAATTTCCAAGCATTTGGGATAACAATTAGCCGTGCATTTGTACCTCTTAATTTTCTTATTTTTTAGGTGATCATGCATGTTAGATTTCATCTAACAAAATAATGCAGTTCTTGAACATGTGGATAACTTGAATCACACATTTAGGCATGTTTAGTCAAAAAGGAACAGTACTCCATTTTCAGCGTTTATTTGTGATCGTAATGCTGCCAAGGTTGACGTGACCGAAAAAAAACTACGAGACGCTTATCATTTGATGGCTGTTTTCTAGAAATACAACGACAATCACATTCGTCTTCTAGAGCGCTTTGCGACTGTTGTAAGGCCGCCAACCACAATGTTATTCCCGAATTCGACGTCTTTTCAGGCTGTATGGCTCCGCTGTATGATAGACCGGCACGGTTTTGGTTTTTGGTTTTTGGTGGGTTCGGTGTGCAAAGCAGTCAACGCAGGCATAAAGGCTTTGTGAGTTACGGACGGTCGGAGAGTTGTGTATACGGTTCATGTGTAACGGAAGAATACAGAGTCATGACGAATACTCAAGCTTTCGCTATGGATCATGCGATCGTATATAACATACATGTGTAACCTGACTTCCGCAATGTCGGATGTTTACAACCGTTGTTGCGTTTATGCTTCGAGTATTAATGTGAATTAATGAAAGAAAAACACGAAGCGAGGTGTGCGGTTTGATAATCTTAGATGCGGCGTTTTTTCGCTTACTTTTCTCTGATGCATACGAGGCGCGGCCGATGGTGCCGAGCGCGATCGCCGCACCTGTAAAACACAAGGAGTATAGCCCGCATTCATTGAACTGCCGCAGGGGTTGCAGCAGTTATGAACGCAGGGCTTATAGTCAGGTGCGTGTACAGCGATTTGTAGCAGGGGGGTCGGGGTCCTCCACCGTAATCCCATAACTTGCGACTCGCCGCGAAGGGGGTCTGGGGGCCCTCGTCCCAGAAATTTTTTGAAAATTAAGATACGCCCTCAGAATGCGTTTCTGGGCGCGAGTGGGGGGGGGGTTTTTTATCCGCGACCGCCCTGGAGGACCCCCCCTGTACACGCCCCTGCTACTATAGTACTAGAGCTAACACTGACAGTGATGTAGCCTGAATCAGTGAATCACTGAACAGTGAATCAATGTAGGCTTGGTCATAAATTAGACAATGAAATCACGACACGGGCTTACGCCTACGACGGTATGGTAGGCTACGGTTCGGCCGTATTATGCACCACATATAATATATGGACCTGAGTGAATCTTGCTAAATGAGGTTTATTTTCTGAAGATTTCTGCAAGTAAACCAAAACACGACTGGGAGCTGCCATGGTGGATTTAGTTCCATATCATCAACAATGTGTTCATGCGCACAATCTAGACTGGTTCCGCACGAGCGTTGTATACAAATTTTCACCTAGAGTTTCTGCTAACTACGACGTGTGATGTCAGTATATGCGAAGATATATAATACTAAAATGGTATTTCTACAAAAACAATTATTCTTAATCTTATACTGTCCCAGCCTTATAATTTTAATATTTTTACCCAGTATTAGTAAATATTACGCCTGATTTTACTATACTTGGTATGTAAATTGTACGCAGTAAAGGATTATTTTATTTACTCGCATCAACTTCCGTTCTGTTGCGATGTGCTGCTAGGCATTTCCGGCTAGAAAGTCGTGTTTTTGTGTGTATATTTATCAAGTGCAAGTGTGACTTTAGTTTAGGTTAAATTAAATAACTATGTCTGAGAAAGAACTAATAGCATGTTCTTTACTTCTGCGAGAGTACTTTGGAGAAATTGTAGAAGCTGTTAGCATGTACTTGGCGAGGAAAGGCTCAACACCACTCAGAGTCTTAGTAGATGAAACCAAGTTAAACATTGACAAGGTGGTTATCGCATAACAATTCCTCGGTTATTAAACTTTGGGTTTTATATAATAACTGTATTTTTGGTGCTCTCGGACACTCTAAGATTATGTACTAGCCCGGCCCATCAATGTTATACGGACTTGATTGGGATGTTTCTATTGTGAGCATACGGCATGTTCATGATACTATAACCACTGGCACTAGTAATACTAGCAGCGGGATCAAATCTGTCCCAACCACACTCATGCTATAGCACACATGGCAGGGTTCTCCCTACGTTGCGCAAACGGGGCGCGCGCGCCCCGTTTGGGAAAACTCCCCCCTGTTTGAATTTCATCCTGGGGAGAACCCTGCATGGTATATGTAAAATCATGGTGTTTAACTCGCTAACGCCTTCGTGAATCTTACACAAGCCGAGACAGGCATGGGTAACTGTTGGCAGCTGCGCTGATCGGCCTGTCTGCACAATGATCTTTCATACTTCTTAATACGCTCTTGATAGCATCTATCGCTCCACCACATCTATCACTTACATAGCCTTCACTAGTTCTGTTTATGGAGAATTGTAAACTAATGTTAGAGCTGTTAAATTGTTTGCTTTTATCTCTCTCTGCTGTTATCATTACTCACTTGAGCTAATGATCGAGTTACATGCCATAGTGAGGTAAAAACTTTGATTGATACAAGTAGGCAGTGATATATAAAACATATTTTGTCACATTTATAAGAAATATGATTTTTATTAGTGTAGCCTTCGGTGTGTTAGGGCAGTAGTGTTTTACGCATGTTTTTTTCCCTTTAGGTCAGGAAGGCACTGTGTGTTTTGACTCAACATAACATGGTGACATTTGATCGGCACAAGCGAGGCTTTGTGATGTACACCATAGATGTTAAGGAAGTTCTTCTACTTGCAAGGTAGCAGAGCTAATACAGTCACACTCGTATACATAAGGGGCACAGTACGTAAATGCCAAGAATCTTCATTATATACAGGACGGGGCAATAGTCACTTATAAGAGACCTCAAACTTCTCCTTGAGGTATCTGTTCTATAAACGTGTTTGTGCTAATACATGTTTAAATGCATGTATGGGCCATTCCATGGTAAAATTGACATGAAATAAAATATATAAATACTGACTATTTAATAAAATATTCATTTTGTGTGATGAATTTGCTTTATAGATTCTTTAATCAAAATATTTCAGGTTGTATATAATGTATATACATATATATTTGTCAATATATATGGGTTATTAAAGAACAAAAATGTTTGAACATAATTAGTGAACATATATCTAGAGCTAACTTTATTAGGGGGATGTCAATATTTGACAATGGTGAAATGTGTTTCTAGTTGTTATATAAAAATCAGTAAAAATAAACGGATGCAATTTTATAGTTTCTAGCATTTCATTATTGGTTATAATAAAGTGATTGTTAGGTACCATCTTGGTAACTTTGTATAGTAGATCATGATTGTGTAGAAGTACATGCATGTCATTGAAATTTGTTATCTTTGTGTATATTTGTAATTTCTTGCCTTGTCGATTCAGGTATACTCGCTACATATACTGTGCAAAGACACTATACGGGGATGCTGCTGAGCTCATTGCAGAGGAGATGCTTCTTCATGGACAAGTTGGCATGGAAAGTGTGTGCCAAAAAGTGGAAAACAGACTCAATGAAGCTCTTGATGGTAAGGGGTATCTCTGTGTAAGAATGGGGAAGGAAGATGGATGATTAGGGATAATATGGGTATGACAAATGCCAGAGCAGTGCATGTCAGGATAAGATGGTAAAATATACAAGTAAGGTAATTTTCAAACCTTTTGAAGATATTAAATAATTGTGAAATTTCTCTCATTCTCTGTATGATTTTTCTATGTCATTGCTAACTATTCTTATAAAAAATTATAAAGATAATGTATGGTTTGTGACCTGGTAGTATAACTAGTAGAATTAGAGAATTACGACTGATTGAATTATTTAATACAGAAGGGAAGCACGTCAGCTCAAATTCAGTGACTGAGAAATTTGCCAACTTGGCCCAGACACACTTCATTCAACGCAGTGCTATGGTAAAGGAGGATGAGGATGATGCAGCTTGCTCTGCTACTATGCCAGTGTTGGTCAGTAGTGCAGACAACCAGTTCACAATATCTGCTGAAGGTGAACTTACTTCTTCTTGCCATGCTCTGACATGCTTCACGCCATCTTTCTTGATGTTTGTATAAGTTGACCTCTAATAAATTTTGTATACTGTCAACTGTTTTTATGGTAACTAGACTTCATTAAATATTATTCACATTTATACAATCAGTTGTTGAGTTGCTGGGTGAAGCATTAGTACACAGAAATAATGTGATTACCTTTCATATACAGAATCTGATGATAGCAGAAAAAGGAAAAGGGAGGAAGGAACTAGCACACAGAGCAAGAAACACAAAACTGGCAACGAATATGTAATAATATATATATTACACGTATATACATATATACATATACGTTTAGGTATATACAGGTAACTCTTGATTTAGGCATTTCTGAAATAACGTGATTGGTGAATTGACACTTTTACATTTATGTGGGGTATATTTGGAACAGCACGATTTTCGATAAGCATTTACAGATGGCATCATTGGCTGGATTTACAATGGTGGCACATCTCCAGCAATGGCAGATATGAGCATTGGTTAATGCATGTGCGTGTTAAACAATGCTGCGACAGTAACGTGCGCAATTTATAGACTGTCGTACCCACGTTTCATCCAGCACTGTTAAAACAATAGCAAGTTCGGACTGTATGTCGTCTCGTATCTAAACAGCTGTTGAGCGACTGCTCTATTATTTATATTGTTTAATGTGTGTTTTTTATTTACACAACCAGGAAAGTAACGGTCATGTAAATCGAGAGTTACCCGTATAACAAATCAATAGCTACTAATATACGTAAAAAAAATCTGTCATGATTTTATTAAATTTTTTATACTACAGTACTACTATACTTACTGTACATGTTCGACTATGTTACAACCTGGTATGTTTTATAGGAATTATCAGAATGTAATAACTTGTGGAAAGTTAACTATGACCGCTTTCATCAACACTTTCGGGACCTGGCTATCATATCAGCTGTCGCCAATAAAATTGACAAGGTAGGGGTATTGCGTGGTTTCACCTGACTACATTTCAAATCGGTGATTAGTCACATAATGATAATTAAAGCAATCGCTACTTGTAAACACGTATTAAGTATTGGTTTCTAGCACGGCAAACATTGTTTAAAAAGACGTCTGAACTTGTTTAATCGAGTGCATGCACGGGAAATATTTTTAAACTCGACACGTACATGTTTTATCTGATGCAGCGAGCAGGTGAAGTGATGAGGACAATGTTGCGGATTAGCGAGGTGAAAAGTGATCCGATAGCTGAAGTCTCGGCACCAATGTCCAGCAACGAAATCTTTCAAGCTCTACCGAAAGAGTTGGGCATCAAGAGCAGTGATGTGGACCAGTACCTGAATCTGCTCACTGAGGATTCTGTACGTACCTAATTTTAGAATGCGTGCGACCATCATTTTCTGGTTTATTCTCATGACGAATGAGAGCAAACGTGCATCTATAACTTGTGATGTAACATGTTAAGTAGGTGAAAATGCTATCGTATTCATATCCTAGCAACAACAAATATGGCAAATTTCCATAATGAAAAGCAAGTGCATTGTGGTATCAGGATACTTTTTGACTACCAAACACTTCTCTACTCCTTGTAGTCATAATACCTATGACCTATAAGGTACCTGACGATACAGGTATCGAGTGCAAGCACAAATAAACATCAATATAGCAACTTACCTCATCACTGTGAGGAAGCACAATTAATTTCAACAGCCACCAATAATCACAATAAAAAAATCATCCAAAGAATACAGTTTTCATGTATTTATAATTAATATTGAACAAAGATTTTCTTGTTTCATAAGAAAAGCTGGACTTCGTTGAAAATAATACTGGAAGCTAGTACATACACTAGTCTAATGAGATTATTTTATAACTTGTATGTATAAATGTTCTAATATGTTATCACTTTCTTTTGTTTGACATGCAGGCAGAGTTTGTGGGAAAGTTGGGGGAGAGCGGCGGTGGCACATACACTGTCAACATAAAGAAGGCCATAACAGAGCAGGCAAAGGCCACTATTGAATCCGTTGTGCAGGAAAGGTATCAGATCTATGATAATCGCTTATCAATAATATAGAATCATATACAGTCATCAAGCTGTTTATGGTACAGAAAATACACAAATTCCGATTAATAAGGAAGTATTAATAAGCCGTGTTGATATGTCTGTCCAGTTTCAATTGGTAGCTTTCAGCAAATCTGTCAATTTTCTAGGTTTAGCTCGAAGGCAGCACGAATATTTAGACTACTGCTGAGGAAGAAATACTTAGAGCAGAAGCAAATTGAGGAGTGTGCTATGATTCCAGCTAAGGAAGCTAAGGACTTAACCTACACCCTATTTGCTGAAGCCTTCCTCTCTCTCCAGGTGTGTAACCTCGTTTTTTTGCTATTAGTTTTGCATATGGTCTATTGATTTCTGCATATGTGTAATTTTCCTTTCTTTCTAGGTATGCCATTTTCTATCTTGCCCTATCCTTAATGTCTAATTTTTCTCTTATTCTTATATCTCTTATCTTGGTTTCTCAAGGTAGAAAATTATATAGTCACTCATAATTTTGTGAAGAAATAGTGTCCCTCAACCTCGCCTGTTGTGGGAAATGCTGATTAAACGTGGTTTATCTGATTACTTTGCATTTTCCACCAGCAAAGAACCTTACTGAAACTGATGTGTGTATAAGTCTAAAATAAATACTTGTCTTTGCCATCGTCTCTTGTTCAGGAAATACCACGCACCCCTGATCATGCTCCATCCAGAACTATCTACCTGTTTACAGTCAATATTACTCAAGTGTGCAGGATGCTGCTTGACAGATGCTATAAGGTAAAATGTAATGCAAATTCCAAGTATAGGTAGCATATACACTATGTGTGTACATTTTAAAAATCAGTCCCATATATGTGTCAAGTCTATCAGATCTTATAGCTATCCAGTATTTATTTTTAAAGTACGTATGTTACAAACATTAAAAATCACCATATACGTAAAACTGTGAGTCTAGTAGTACCTTTGTAAAATCTAGAAAAATGTCTAAACTTATATTCATGAGCTATCGGTGCAGTTATTAAATGCTCAAACATCATATGACAAAATCCACTTTTTAAGTCAATATTGTACTAATACAAATTAATACATGTCAATTTCTAGGCACTCTCCAACATTGTAAGCAAGCGACATCACGTGGTTAAAGAATTTAAGTGAGTGTATTACGTAATACATTAGGGATATTGAGGAACTTAATTTGTTTAATTAAAATTAAGAATATGCTTTAACAAGTGCTGCAGAGCGACAGCGCTCATCTAACGTCTACTGCGGTGACTCTGTGGTGGAGTGGTGGGATTCTAGTAAACCCTGTTAGTCCCAAATGTTGTTTCACATACACGCCGAAACAGTGGAATGCACAGGGATGGTATCAGGAACCTTCTCAAAGAATGGTTCGTGTGGGATCGTTATGAAAGTTGCCACGAGATGGCGCGTACGTTTAAGTGTCTTCAGATTAAAGATGGAAGCTCCCATCATACGTAGTAGCAACAACATCTGCAAGACAGAATAGGTAAGCACTTATCCATTTACCTACGCAAGCCTACACAGGGTTCTCCCCAGGATGAAATTCAAACAGGGGGGAGGGGAGGGTAGGGGAGGGGGAGGGGAGGGAAAAAACTAGGGGGAGGGGGGGAGGGGGGAAACTAGAGGGCGGGCTTCCGGGGGCGTGTATTTTTCCGTACGACTAATTAATGCGTAAAATCGCCACCACACCATAGACGGTATTTGGGTTCTTGTATATATAAGATAGCCGAGTCGGTTGTACAGTTAGTTACAGGTTAACTGTGCATTTGTCAGTGGTTAACTTGTGTACTGTCTGCAGTTGCATGCGTTTACGGTAAAAATACACGCGTCGGTTGTCCTGGTTCGAACGGCAATTCTTGACGGTCGATTCCCGCGCTGGCAAACTTTTATGTGGTGGAATTTAAACGGGGCGCGAGGTAATTCAAACAGGGGCGCAACGATTCAAAACAGGGGGGAGTTCCCAAACGGGGCGCGTGCGGCAACGTAGGAGACCCTGCCTACAGGCTGCGCAATAGACAGCTTGCGCCACTGTAACCAATTAAGGCAAAAACTCCACAGTACCACAACACATGCACTGCAGTAGCCACTGGCAGTGGCATACGTTACATGAACATACTGACACTACAGAATGCCATATAAATTATTTACGATTTAAGGAGCATAAACCTTCTTTAACCCAAATTTAGCTTTTGAAATTTCACTGTGACATTGTAGGCCTCATACATCCAGGCATGTATAGATTCTACTAGCAAACCGGCAGCTCAAATTCTTTCTAAGCACAGTCAACAAATCCATGTTTACCCTCCTCTTGAGGGTCAAAAGGTTATCTGAAACTTACTCTTCGCATTGCAGCAGAAAGTAGATTTCATGCGTCCTTTAAATAATGCCATAAAAATGCTAGGTCACCGCTGGAACAAAAAAGTTTTTCAATCGCTCCGTCAAGACCATGTCTCAGAAAAGTGGTCTAAAATCTGCCTTGTTGCCCATCTGACTCTTGACCTGTGACCTCCAATGTTCAGGCAGCAGTGATGGCTTTTCCCTAACCATGATGCTAATACACCGTACTTATCACGAGCCTAGTCGAGCCGTTTAGATTTGTGCCGAGCAATTCTTGCATTTCCTCCCATATACCTTAAGTTAAGCGATGTGAATGTTGCCCCCTTCTTTTACCTGCTTGACCTTTGACCCCTTTGTTGACCCCAGCTTCGAACAGCCGGCAACTCGTCTTTGGACGATCCGCCCCAATGTGCCGAATATCGTGACCGTACGTCGAGCGGTTAAGATTTGTGCCCAACTGCTTGACCGTACGGCGATCAAGCGATTCTACAAGCTGCATCTGACTATGTCAGATGAGCTAAAAATATAACAAGAACTTGTATTTTAATGGCAAATCTTAACGTCGAGTTTTACAATATTCAAAGTTGGAACTTGAACTTTGGAACAATTTTATATTTTTCTTTAGATTTCATGGCATAAGCTAATGGCGCAAATATGTTTTTGATACATTGCAGACGCCTCTTGGAAAAGCAGCAGCGGGTAGAGGCAATCGTGGCTTCACTCAAGACTTCTGGGTCAGACGAGGCACAGATACGTGAGGTAGAGGAGATGATAACACCTCCCGAGCGCACCCAGCTTCAAAAAGTGGAGCACATGACCACCAAGTACGTTCAATATCCAACATCTATTACTGAAAGCTTTGCTAGTGTTTATGCCCATGTTACTATAGTGTTAAATTGGATTGACCAGTTTAAATCTTTGCTATTTCTCGCTGTAATTGTTTTGAATTGTTATTCTTGATACTTTTGTTACAGATTAGAACAAAGCAAAATACAGCTGGATGAGACCATCTTCATTCTTAGGCTCAACCTCTCATATTGTGTGAGATAGCAATATTGCTGGAGGTATGGATACTGCCTTGAACCAGCGCGCCCACTTACCTACTTGAAACGTGCCACTTATCACCTAGCAATACATAGACATGTTATTACAGGGAAAACGTTTAGCAATGTGTTTTCATAGCTTCTTCTTAACCATTTGAAACGATGGCGACTTGTTTGGCATATCAAGTGGTTGGATGTTAAGACTTCATGGGCACTGATAACAGTTCTATGAAAATGCCACAGTAGTTTTGCTGGTATATGTAGTTTGATGCATCATTTATCATTGGTGTGATGTATATAATTAAGATGAATAGGATGTAAAATAAAGTAATACTTCTTATTTATATGCATATATTTAGTATTCTGTTTATGTTTTTCTCTAGCATTGTTCAACATTTTTTAGATGACATACTTCAGTATATTCACATATCTAAATCTATCACATAGTAAATCCATTTTTTAATATTTTCTACATTTTATTTTAATGTACAAGTTTATTCAATTATTATTATTACATCTTTATTCTTGACTATTTACATGCTATTAAACTCTACTATTGTATAACAGAAAAAATAGAAGACCCTATTAGAAAGTCTTTAGGCTGGGCATTCATGATTGTTGACCTAGCCTTAGCAATGCAACAAACTTTTACAGTCATTTTCTCGCATCCAATTCAGTTACTATCAGGAGTGTATCAATATATTGATACACTCCTGTTACTATCAATTTCACTTGCAATTGACAACTGGCTTATTTTGAAAATTTATGTCAATGTCTTTAAGAACTTGCAGCTCACATGGCACTTTTTGTCTCCCACCTCTCCTTCTTAGAAAATCTGTAAATCGGAATCTTTAATAAAATTTTGATGGTAATAGAAATATCTCCTTAATGTCACATAAATCCTCATTTAAAAAAAAAATCTTAATTTGTTAATTGTCAACTGTTAATAATAACTTGTATTGTTCAAATAACAAATTGTGTAATACTATAACGAGAGAGTATCTTACTGAATTAAAGTGAAATATTGTCTACAGTAAAGAAAGTATGAAAATTCAGTGTTCAAAAACAGTACATACACTGACGTAGTTTTTACATCCATATTGGGAGCATTGCCATGGAAATTTGTTCAATACTTACGTCCATTTCAGCTTCTTCTTTCGGTATTTCGACGGTTTAGACTCGTCCTCTTTCTGCAAAGTTATAGTGTACATGATAAGAAAACTGACTGCAATCATGACGTCTCCTCCATCTCAGAGTTAACGTAAAGTTGCAAAAACTGTAGGCCAACACTGAAAAAACATTCACTCAGCCCGTTCAGGCATGTCATTCCAAAAATGTGCGACGTTATGATTGATCTCCCGACTATGATTAATGAAAATCTAAAGACCATAGGTCAATCCTCTTTGACATTTTGTCGCAATATTTGGCCTGGCTCCCATTTTAAATTGCCCCACTCCTTATAGGATGAGCGTCATATACGAAGCTGTTTAAATGTGTGCTGCTGCTATTGCTGATAGACAGACCTTTCTCATCTCTCCATACTAGACTTATCTGAGCAGCTGAGCCAATAATACGAGTCGATAAAAATACAGAATCTCAACTACCAGTTTATCCAAACTATCAGTCTATGATAATTACTTAAAATTGTTTATATAAAATGACCAAATTTTATGTAAATAGCTCCATGACACATATATAAAATTAGCATTTGGTAATGAAAAAAATTTACTTGTAAAGTTAAAGCGACAGCTGTATTGGACAGTGAATCTTACATTCAATTGCAATGGTTTGTTATAATTTGTTGCAGTTAATTTCATTTCAATAATGGAGTCAGTTACAGAACCTTCACAACTAAATCTTTACAACTGATGTGCCACTGCGTAGTTCAATCTATAAGTGACAACAGAAAACGTAGTGATGCGATTGCAACATTAAAGGGATAGCCATATTGACGCTGTCTCAAAGGGTGCACATAAAAGAGGGTATGTTCAGGTAAATATACTAACCTGCCGGTCAGCCAAGTGATCACTGAGTCTCTCAGCCAGGTGAAAATCTTCCCTGCTAATCGCCTCATCAATACGCTGCTCTAATTTGGTCTGCAGTTCAAAGTAATTAATAAATATTATAAATTCAAAATAATCCCAATTAATTCTCAAATAAACAAGGTTTTCATATTCAAATGTTAAGTCAAGAACTGCCATTTCAAATTTTATCAACATGAAAGTAGAAAAACAAAAAACTCAATATTCTAGCTGTGAGCAGGGTTGTACTAATAATGCAACATAAAATTTTCTCAGAAATGTGCAACACAGTTGTTCTGAAAAACTCAACTGAATCATTTCATCATTCAATTTTACAATCTAAAGCTTTAGATATCATATCCCTCGATCCACTAGTAGCCGACAGAGATATGTTATACTTTGTTACCTGGTCACGAACAATGCGAGAAAGTTAATAAAGCAGATTCCAACACAAACAGTTAATTTTCTATTCAGTAAACCACAACATTTGTAATAATCTGTTAAGTTTGGCATGCAGACAGCATGCTACACAGGAGCTTTCCATCTTGGTGTGTGTTTAGCATAGCAGATATTACAGATATTTATGTAACCTACCTTGGGGCCATACCTGCCATGGTCCACATCCTTCAAGCGATCATTCAGTCCTACGTACTTGGCAACATCCTGTATACATAATCGTTTGTTGTCACCCCTCAGCGTCACCTGTTCTGAGGACGTCTTTGGCTCAGACACCCAGCTTGCCAGTTCCGTAGAAGGTAGTGTCTGATGGGATGATTTGTTGTGAGGACTTTGTAATAGATGTGAAAGCTGATCGCTTGGAACTCCATTCCTAGAAAAAAAGTAGATGTTTGGGCCTAATATATAACATTTTTCATCTTCACATAACGCATCCTTTACATTTAAAATACCGAACTTACATCATCGCAAATGAATGATAAATGAGAATTGTTTTAAATGGCACATTTCTAAGACTTTGGCTCCAATGATGAGACAATTGTCCCAATGAAACCATGTTGCTTTGGATTATGTAACATTTAAGCTTTTTACAGCAAAGCTACTTGTTGTTAGATGGCCCGAGGTAGTTAGCCTTATACTGGGAAATGACACATGGCAAACATTTATTACTACATTGGTTCATAACCCCTGGGTGCAACCCAATATGCTGGAGTACCAAATCATCTCAAGTAACTACCCCAAATTCATTTATAATCTAAGTGACTGAACCAAGACTGACCAAAACCCAGGTCAGAAGTTGAAATTAAAATGTTAACAACCACTGCACTATTATATTGGACAACATCACAAGACTGGCAGATCAAATAACCCTTACCGGCCCTGCTGCTGCTTGTGCTGCTGCTGCTGTTGCTCTATGCATGTCTTCTTGTTAGAAACATCCCTATCCTGTAGACTGACATCACATCCCTCGACTATCAGTCTGTCCTCTGGATCTGACAGCTCTTTGCGCACTTAACAGATTAACCATTTATTAGTTTCTTGACACTATTAGAATTTTAACAAGCACCACATAATGACAATACTTAGCTGTGCGATAGCAGGGCGCGAAAAAACCCGCTTGCCCGATGGCCCGGGGCAACCAAAAGTCACCCGCGGGCAAGTAGCTTGAAATTGCACTTGCCCGTTCAGGCAAGCAAGTTTTTTTATTGAATGTCTAGTCTAGACATAATGATATTTTTTGGTTTCCACCCGTCCCTTGCACTGTTTTGCACAGACACAACATCGCGCTGCCTTGCTGCAATGAGATTTTTATGGAAAAAAAAAGTGAATGAAACAATCGGTGGATACAGTGATATACACAATATGCACAGAGCAACATGTAAACCCAGCCCCCAGGCCAGGCATAGTCGTTACGTGATCAGCTACCTCAAATGTTTGCCCCTCTACTGCAACCTGTGAACGAGGATTTTCGTTGCTGAATTAAGTACACAAAAACAGATACACTGTATACTGTGCTGTCAGTCTATTATGCATGCATCAGTCAGTCTATTAGTCTATTAGTCAGTCTATCTGCATGCATGCACAGCTATATTCTCTGCGCTTACGATCCAGCCCCAAATAAACGTGAACATATTTTATTAGTTTATTGTGAGAGTGTGGTGGGTTTTTGATAATAAACTGACACTTAAAAAATTAAAAACAAACTGCGTGCTGTGTTCCAACATGAATATATTTTGTATACAAACTCGTATCAGCTGTTAAACTTTCTACTGTGCCGTTAAGTGAAATGCTGACTGTTGACTAGTTGGACCTTCATTTACGTTATTTACCGTTTAAATTCATATTAGAATTTTTTTAATGTATTTCTTTATATGTTTTTCGGGCAAGTGACTTTTGCCTCCGGGCAACCAGTTTCGTAACCCACAATTATTTTTTTTGTAGCACCCTGCGATAGGTGTTTCTGTTACAATTATGAATAGCACTAACACTACCACTACTTGAGCCAGGGTTCCCGCTTGGTGATTTAAAATTTGAGCCAAGACATTATTCACTAAAGTTACTTTTTAGCCACCAGTCAAAATCTATCGCCACTGCTCATGGCTCACCGTATCATATTCTTAATTTAAAGGAACAGTAGCCTCTAGGTTCTAGGGTTATTTTCAGCTAATTTAGGTTATAATTGCGCTACATAAAAAGTTTCATGGTTCAATCACCATTAGAAATATTTTTAAAAAATGTTTTAAAACTAACGACTACAGTTTGATTACAACGACGGTGGCGCCACTCAAAGCGCACGATCTGAGAAGTTGCGCAAAACCACTTTCCAGCCAAGGGCTACAGACCGAGGGTATTTCTTATTTATTCATTTAAAAGCAAAAGGATTGTAATATCTTATAAACGACATATAGTTTCAGTTATAATATGGATAAATTTGCCCTAAAATGAATATCGTTCGGTTAAATAGCATTTAGGTATAAATATAATTGCACTTTTGTGATTAGCCCTCGGTCATTTACCTGCAAAATAAAAATGCAAATACGCAACTTTTTCAGGGTGGCAGCACGGTCGCGGGTGTCATGGCGCCGTTCAAATTTCGTAGCGTTGATGTGTAAATAATTAATTAAGTATCTGGTGACAAATACATGTGGGTATAGACGATTTGTTATACAGTAAGTACAGTTGTATGCAGTAAAATCCTAGAGGCTACTGTCCCTTTAAATAAAACAACTTTGAGCAATTCATTTACAAAAAACACACACATTACTTGGCATAAACAAGTGACACAGAGCGACAGCGGTCAACTGACGTGTACTGTAGCCAGGTATTCTTTTGATAAACTCACTGGCAACCGAATCAAGTGCGGCCTCCTCCCACCGCGTTCGCACTCAGAGCATATATCTAGGATACTACTAATACAGATCTAAAATCTATGATAGGCTTTCTATACCTACTGGTAGTACACTACAGTAATAAAGATACAGCTGTGTAACTTTAATGACTTCGCTATATTAACATGTTATCATGGATATGCGTCGAGCGCGAGCATAGAGTCTGTGTGCAGTCCAATCATTTGCCAATAGTAATTTTCCAGCCAGTTTAGTAAAATCCCTACAGCTGTTGCTTTATCACACTCTGTCAAGGTGCCAAATGTTCCAGCAGGAATGTTAGCTCTTTAGCCTTGATTGTTTTCAGTGTAATAAGTTGAAAACAAACAAGTCCTGTTTTTCTAAAAATGGTTTTGATTATAATTAGAGTTGATTATAAGTTGAGTTAAGGTTATGGTTATGAATTAAAGAATCACTGCAGACATAAACAATATTCATTAATTAGTCCAGAGCCATATGGCTTTGAAAATTGCTTTCATTATTGTTACCATCATAACGAAAAGGTATTTACAACACCAGCTGACCAGTAGCGCCTAACTAATAAGGCAACTAATTGGGGATTATATTAGTCAGTACCATGCCTTAATTATAGAAATGGCTACTGCTCATACTAATTACCAAATACTCTGCATAAATATTTACCTATCTCAGACACCTTTCTCTTTAGTTCGCATATGCGTTTTTCTGTTGACCTCTTGGAAATGAGTTCTCTTCTTTTTCGCAATGATTCAAATTTCTGGAAATGAAAGAAACACTTCATTAATATATAATCACTTTCGTTTTGCAAATTACAAGTTCAAAATTCATATATATTTACAAATTGAAAATGCTAATCGAATAAACAATGTTTAGATCATTCAAAAAGAAACAGGGTGGACTAAAGAATACACTGTCAGGTATACAGGGTCAAGTAAACTAAATCGTATACCACAACCAGATATATTACTTGGGACACATTTCCAATCTTCACACTTTTTCTCTATTCAATGATTCAGTAGTGGTAGTGGCCTGGGGGGGGGCACTCCCTATATATTGCATGGTAGGTATGTGTTGCAGTTATGACTCTTCCCTTTCACCTCAAAATTTCCGCACCGGAAACCCCCCTTTTCACATATTTCCTGTCCCGGAGCATAAGTCCAACTTTTTTCCGCATGGGAGATCCCCCTTTTCACATATTTCCCGTCCAGGAGCATAGGTCCTACTTTTTCCTGCACATTCCAGAGACCCCCATTTCACATATTTCCCGTCCTGGAGCATAGGTACTACTTTTTCCGCACGTTCCGGAGACCCCTCTTGCAAACATGTCCAGTTCCGGAGCAACAAACTTTCTAGCAACCCCTAGTTCTGGACACCCCCAGTTTGATATCCTGAGTTAGTACCGGAAACCCCCCCCCCACAATTCCATCTCTCAAGTGGCACATACCTACCCTATTTTGTAGGGAGTGCCCCCGGGGGTAGTGGCACTTCTATCAACTAGAATGCTCATATGACATATTACATAAAATTGTCTAAGCAAAAAAAATGCATGGAAAGTTCCCTGCACGCCTTACCCAAGCACAAGCTCATTTGTTGCCCTGGATATATATAGGCATACCACCTGATAGAAACTGAAACACTCAATGAAAGCCACCATAGATATTATTGCCTAAAGTAGAAAACTTCTACCACAACCAACATCATATCAAGATGTTTTTGCAATATCATTGTCATTTTTCTGTGGTTGCACTTGTTACCCTGCCTGAAGTCTACAAATCATAGACTGAGGCACAGTTACAATTACAATGAACTACATAAAATACCAGTTTTGTCAGTCAATGATATTGGAATTACCAAACTCCCTTTCCTCTGAGTCTCCACATAGTTCATTAGTTGCAAGAGCATGTGCAGTGGAAAAATAAGGGCCCAATGATAGAGAACATGGGTTCCAATAAAAACAATGTGCCTACCCCTAACCCTAACCATAACCATAACCCTAACCTATTATATTGATATAATATTATATTTATATTGATGTAAATGACATTGGTTTTATTGGGACCCATGTTCTCTATCCTTGAACCGAAATAAGTATGTAGAGTGTTTGGGGGGCAAACATCTACAGTTAATGTCACTCTATGCTAACGCGCATAGTTCAGTTCCCACATTGGTTTAAACATATTGTGTTAAAAGAGTACATTAACGTATTCTTTAAGCCACAATTTTGCTCATCTTCAAATTCCCTGCCCATTGCCTTCCCCAAGGCCTAGCTAGGTCTTGTTGGTCACAAAGACGTGTAATTTATTGGTCAGACCATCTGTGTTACCAGAACCACTCCATCAAATTAAGTAAGGTAAATGGGAATGATCTACCTCTTTCATTTCCTGTGAAACGCCGCTTGCCATCGTTGGCATTTCTGCAGGACGCTTGGTCTCAGATGCGTTTTGCGACACACTCACAGTAACACTGCCACCGATGATGGGTGGGTGTTTTTTATCCATCATGAGTTTCACAATTTTACTTGACCCTCTTAATTAAACTTAAGCCGTGTGGGCACAATCTGAGAACAGAATATCACGTTATGTACATATTATTATAACAACCGTACGTGTTTCACAATAATAATAATTTATGTCAACAGAACTGCAGAAGAAGAGAAAATGCAAAAATAAACAACATTGAAAGCTACTCCTGCGCCATCTGTTTAATGAATTAGACACTAATATCGTCTTGGCTATTCTTATTATCTTTATTATTATTTCCAAAGTGGATCACGGCATTAGCAATATTATTGCTACATTAGTGGTTATACATTAATAAACATTATTAGCTACTGAAATAATCTAATATATATGTACACACACATATAAATGTAATATGTATCAGGCATAAAGTAACACCACCCGAACACCACTTTACTTGGATTTACCACCACCCACCCCCACAAACGCACACACAAAAAGAGTTAGCTACCGTCTTGAAGAGTGTCGGTGATGCATCTGACGTACTGCATGCCCTGCCTGAATGTGCCGCGTAAATTACAAGCCAACTTTCATGGGCGGATCCAGGATTTTAGGAGGTGCAACCTTTGTAAAAAGGGAATATTTTTTGTGGGCGAAGCCCGCAAAATTTATATATATATATATTTTTTCAATATATATATAATATATAATATTTATTTATATTTATATATATATATATATATGTGGGTTTTCGGTCCATAAGTTATTAATGTGAGGTTTTGGCGTAGCTGATTGAAATGCGTGCATTTGGCAACATAATAATGTAACTCATCCAGTGCATCTATTCAGGCGACCGTAAAGTCTTTACGTGCATGTGTACTTGAACTATCTCAATCCGTTCGCCCACCAAACATCACAATGCTTTTCCATTTTTTCTAGTTTCCTTTACTCTTTGTAACAACAAAAATGTTATATGGCAATATTTGTGTAGGTAGGCACTAGCAATTTCTTTTTTTATATCAAATTACTTGTGAGTCTGCGCTCTGTATCTTAACGGAGAATTTCTATAATACATGTAATCACATAATCAAGAGCTAATAGTAGGCTTACATAGAGCGTCTAACGGGAAAACAGAAAAATAGGGCTATATTAGTGGTTATACATTAATTATACATTATTAGCTCTTGAAATGATCTAATATATATATATGTATACAGGCCCGTAGCCAGCTTTATGGTTGGGGGGGGGGGGTTTCTTTTTCAATGTTA